ACTAATCAGAATTCCCGCGTAACCTAGCATGGTACACTTCAGTGTTTTATCCCACACAATACGAGCCCATTTAACTTTGGCCTCCGTTTAGACGTAACTGGTCGCGGTCAATTCAGTTTTGGGGGTCACCCTCTTGAGAAAATAACCGATCGTCCAGCCGCCCGTAGGCCGCAACAATATCGTCATGAATAGGTCAATTTCAATTTAGTTGTGAAATCAAAATTGCAAATTCTGATTCAATGTTTGATTGTGTGTTCTCTACAAAAAAAAACTTTTAATATATTTTTTTAATCTGAAAATCACTATAATTTTTTACTTTTTCATGATTACTCAACATTGATTGATTAAACTGTAATGAACATGATTGAGTGAGTCTCTATAGTGTGTCGTTATTTAAGCAAATTCTTCTTCAGTTCATTCTGATTCTGTCAATTTGAAATTCATCGTTACTGAATTTCCATCAGAATTAAAATTTTTAACGCCTTCACATTTTATACAAAAATAAATATTTTTTATTCTTTCTCAATAATTGAAAAGAAAGTTTATAGTTGATGGATTTTGAATTGTTCGATATATTTATGAATTTGGCTAGTTGTTTCTATCGGTCCATTCATGTCGATTTCAATTAGTAATAGTTTGTCCTTTTGATTATTCGCATCGATCGTCTTCTGCGTATTCCTCGTCTCCCTTTTTTTTCTGCAAATTGAAATTTTATCCATCAATTTAAGATTGTCCTTCTCCCTTCTACTCTTCGAAAATTCCGTGAGATTCAGTGATATTCTTTAATGTTTTTTTTTTCACACATTTTTTTAATGTGAAAAATTACAGTTCGATTCAACGCTTGATTTGTAGTTTGTATCTAATGTTGAATTAAATAAATTTTAAACCGAATTTCAATGGATTCTGCTCAATGACATAATATTAAATTTGATACATTTGTTGATATTATTTTTGTCTTCAAAATTATTTACCTATTTGATTTTATTTTCTCTTTTCCGGTACATGATTCAGTACCATCAGTCTCTGACGCATCTGTTTCATTAGACGTGGATTGCTTCCATTGGGTGATCTTGTCCAAAATCAAACTTCTTCCTCAAAAATGTAATCCGTATCAACGATCGGTACTCGGTAAACTACTTCCTCCGTCATGATTCTCTCAGTCAATATTCACACTTATCTCTTCAATGACAACTATTCTTTTTTTTTATTCTCCTACTATTTATTATCTTTCTTTTCTTTGAATACTACGAAAATTGAATATTACTTCAAGAAGGTTTAAAGGAGTGATGACGCAGTGATAACGCAGGAGTATTTAGGCATTTTCAAGCTAAAACCGAGGGCATGAGCGAATTCCTCATCGTAACATGTTTTTAGAACAAAAATAAGCCCTACAAAAAAAGTTCAATGAAAATTTGTCTCAACTCGACGTGGAATCGCCCATAATAAATATAATAATACAATGACAGTTATAGCAATGCATCTCTGCATCCCAGAGAATACCTATTTTAAGTAAA